TTGCAGGTAAGACAATATTCCGTTCCATTTTTATACCATTCGCCATGTAATCCATAATTCCCATGTTTTCCATCGCAAATAGGACATGGCGAGCTCCATGGCTGAGGTGATGCAAAATTATAATTATCAATTCCTCTGAAACTATTTCAGAATTTCAAGTATGTGAAATGCTCTAACACGGATTTGATAATTAATTCTGGATCGGGTTTGGCTTCGAAGATGATAGGCCCTTTTTCTTCACATTGCTTACCAGAGGAGGAAAAAGATAAATCTGACTTTGAATTTATAACTTCCGATTCATGTATTTCTAATAGTTGCCATGGCTCATGCTCAGTTTCTCTTTTATATTTTCTGTATAAGTTAGAGCGGATCTTATCCGTCAAAACTCTTGGTAAACCAGTTAATTTGGCATGCCAATCCAGATACTTGGGGGTTAATACTTTATTGGACTTGCTCATATTGCCTTTTTATATAATTGCAGATCAATTTAAATTACAGTAGGTATAGTTGACATAAATTAGCCCTGTAAAAAAATATTACAATGAAACATGAGCAAATATAGAGCAGTCTCAGAGAGACCCAGACTATGCAACTATCTCAATTTCGCGCTATTCACATTTAATAAAATAGGATCTGGCTTCATATCTACCATCTATACCTTTCTCATCATCATGATCTAAATTGCATAATGGGCAAGTCCTTTTGGGATCGCAAGATGTCTCATCAGTAATACCATAATAATCGAAATTTTCACTACTAAATTCTCTATATAAAGTAGGATTTTGGCCCAATGTCTTGTTGCGAAAATAGGATCAGTCATAAGTAGTCCTAGGAATTGGTAGACGAGATGCATCACCATTGGTAGTTTTCAAAGGCACGTGACTCTGATTGTTTCCTGAGGAAACGGTTTTTGAAGTTACTTGACCTATAACATTTTGAATTTGTTCGTTAGTTAATTTTGAAATCTCATTTGCACTGCAATTGACACACTTAATTTTATCAATCCCTACACCATTCTCTCCAAACAATTTGCGAATTTTTTTGGCTCTAAGAGTTTTAATTCGCAAGGCAACAGGCGTAACACCGGCCAGATGTTCTAACATTTCCTTGTATATTTGAGTTCTTGCAGTTTTATCAGTAACTCCTGTCTCACGACGAATTTCAACAACCTTATTTTCAAAATTATCTGAATAATGAACCCAGGACAAAATCTCTTCATGTCCAGCTTGTATTGCATTTTGAAATAAATGGATTAGGCTTTGTGTCGTAATTTGGCCGTAAGATGCTTTGCAAGAGGATGAATACTGCTCACTAATTTCAGAAGGTGAAGCAATAATACTACCACTCTGTAAATCTCGTATTAAATCAAGTTCTATATTCTGATTTTTAGTGAGCTTGATCTCATCAGAGTCGTCAAAATCTTGAATAACCTTTTGCTGATTTCTTAAAGTTTTCTCGATTTTTTCTGACTTCTCTGAAACCATCTGATCGTTTTCTGAAAAAACAGTTTTTGTACTACTTTCAATTTTATCGTTTCCTGAAAAAACAGTCAGATTATTTTCCGCAGAAGGTAATACTTTAAGGGAGGCTGTCTCACGCAGAAGTTTCTCCTTATTGCGTCGCCTTATCCCATCATTAACACTTTTCTTATGTGTATCATCCAAGAAAGTATCCATTTCCCTGTTTACCGATGATTTCTGATCACTCACACAAGATGGCAGAGATTGGTCCTGCTTTCTTTGACTATAGTCGGGAATCGATAGTAAATTATCATCGGATGAAAATCTTCAGCGAAACACTTTTCAGTACTTTTCGCCTCTACTTTTATCTCTACATTCGAGTATATGCAAGAAGATGGGGCTGATTGCTTTACAATTGCTTCCTTATTATTCTTTGACACTGCCATGGAACTCTGTTCCACTATTGTGAGTCTGGCCTCAAGTTCTGTATTTTTTTGCTCTAGTTCCTTGACTCTAACATCACGCCTGGCATTCTCTTTAATAATTTGCCTCAGCTTTGCGTTTTCAGCCTCAACCTCTGTAACCTTTCTCCTAAGTTCAGGAATCTCAGCATTCTCGCCCTCGATTTCAGCAAACTTCTTCCTGAGTTTGGCAATCTCATCTAAGAGCTTAGCATTCAACTCTCTTAATTAATCAATAGATTGAGCGTTTGACATTGTTTTATACAGGGTATGAATAATTCAAAAGTTTGTCAGTATAAATATAAACAAGAAAATGCCTCATCAGAATTACACTGTTAAATGTGGCTTTATTGATACAGAAAATAAATTACATAGTTTAATGATACATAAACTTGTTCTAAAAAGTGAAATGGTGCTTCTATACAGCACACAAGTGTTGTTCATCTAAACTATCTATACTAACATAATATCCTAACATTAATCCGATTTCATTTGCCTCAATGTTGATATTCTGGATATAATAAAATGGTCGTCAATTATGCATAGAATACGCGGAGTCAGAAATAAATTAACAATATTGACCTCAGTAAAACTCACCGACATTTTATGTTCTCCGCCCTGAACAAAAAAAAAATAGATATTAGCTTTGCAAGATTCATTGCAAATACACAGCCACAATCGAAATATTCATACCTTATTTGTGTGTCTCGTCCAGAACTTCAGTAATTCTCTTCCCTCGAACTGCGGTTTCTCAGAGGAAATAATATTACGTCTTAGGTAAGAAAAAAGTCAGTGTACTGCGCTTTATTTTCCTTTTGCACACACAAAGCCACATTAGTCAGATCGATGAAAATTTTATATAAATATCCGGATTGTTTGCCCTGATGAAAATTTTCTTCCGTACCAATCGAACGCCCATGAAGCCTGTTGCTTAAGGGTCAGAAGTCAACTAAAAGTAATTTTAAAATAATAATAATAATGTCAGATCGATCAAATTTTTCGATATTCGAAAATGACCTGGCGAATAATCATCATAGAATAAGGTACTTGTTTGATATGATAACTGTGACATACGCATCGTGGTATGACTCAAAATTATAATGTGTACGATGTATCTATGACTCAAGGTTATCAATGCTCGAATATATATATAATGCTCTGCAAATTTAGTACCTCTTTCTCTTTAAAAAATTTTTAATTTTTATCGCAGTCATCGCGACATAATGGTATTTTATTTCGTTCTAGGAGAAGCTCCTGCTACAGAGAACCATTTTGTGGTCGATATTACCGATAAAATCAAAACTATTTCGCATCTCCAACAAGCTATTAAGGACGTGAAGCAACCTCACTTGGACGATTTCTCTCTGAATGATCTTAAATTGTGGAAAGTCTATATTCCTATTAGTGAAAATGAAAATTAAACTTATGACCAAAAAAATTCCACAAAATAGTCAAATTATCAAAACGAATGTTCTTGTTGATACCAGTTCTGTTTCCGACCTTTCAACCCTCGATTTTCTGGCACTATTATTTTGAGCATTATATCTTCAAGATCGTTTGGGTTCGGTTAATCGGTCTATATCACCACCTAATGATTTTATCACTTTAACGTTCGCAAAGATGCATTCAAAGGTATTGAAAAAAACAAAAGGTAGAGGTGTAGATGGTTGACTCCTTGAACGCGTTTGGCAAATGGAGTTTTACCGTGCATCAACGCTGGTTCTTCCTGAAGAAATTTATGCTTCAGTGGATGTTGAAGCATTATTTAGATCAAAGGGCTACTTGGATTTCTACATAAATGAACAGCGCAGGTGGGCTATTGAACTATTGTGAGACAGAGTTAATTTGAAAGAACATCAACAAAGGTTTCAAAATGACGGTTGATATGCCCCTATTCTTGAAGTTGCAGAAGAATGGGCAGTCGTTGATATTCGAAACAGTAAAATGGGACCCCCAGATCAATATGGTAAAGATGATATTTATGCTCTTTGTGATGAAAATTTCGAATCTATTCATTTAATCTATCCTGATAGAACTGAACAAGTTGTTAAATTTCTTGGTGAAGAATGTATTGAAAACTCACTTGGAATTGATATCTCTGAATTTTTAAGTTATGAGGGAATGGAAATTGATTAAAAATTTAGTCTCTTGATATCAAAATATCCTATCACAAAGTATCGAAACTCTTATTTATTTATTAAATCTGTATAATACCTTAATTATAAGTTATAAAATAAAGCTTGGTTATTATTTCATAAAAAGTCTCGTTTTTTCGTTGGTAATAAATAGTATTGGAAAAGCAGATACTTTAATGCTAGAACTTTCTACTGTGGGTGTTACATATGACCTGAAGCTACGTAATTTAAAGTAATAATACCTGCTTCCAAATAAAAAAAATCACGTGCGCGTGAACAATTATTCACGCCGATCACTTTTGCCAAGAAAAAAATTTTTTATTAATACATGCGAAAAATAAATACAAAGGTTCAGGACTTTGCCTGTGATATATGACGTTTCTATGCTAATGATGGCGGACTATTATACTTGATTATTTTTTCGAGCGATACTCCTCTATTCTAGCCTTTTTCTTTGAGGAGGAATCATCTTCTGCACATGCCCTATCCTTTAATAAACCTACTACTACGCTCAACACCTTTTTTACGCCATTATGTAACGTTTGATATTCTACGGAGTCTTTTTTCAAAGCATCTTCGGAAAATTCGATACTTAATGGTAATTTACTGCATTGTGAAATTACCCTCGGAGTGTACAACAGGAAGTGCCAGTCCCGAGCTGTAGTTACAATACTATACAGATAATCGAAGTCGTCGTCATCCCATTTTCTTTTCCTCTTGTTCGTTTGAAAAGAGCTTTTAAGCTGTTTGATATTCTGAGCATAGCCTTCAACTATGTTTCGTTGTGGTTTGTCTTCAGCGACACAAATAAGATCTTCGGCTTCCTGGATTGAAAATATTATATTAATATATTATTGAAAAAAGAAATTTGTGAGACCAACTATCCCAGAAAAAATCTCATTACCTTGATTGTGAAGTCAACACGACCCGAGCTTTCTTCACCAATTATTCGTATTCAGGTCTCATACTGAATTCTTTCCCCGTAGCATCCCTGGTAATATTGATTACAGTATGAAGAATTGCTACAATGTACTCATTACGCATGACTTCCAAAATATCCACAACCAAAGATCCATAATTTTTTAGCCTGACTAAAATCTCCGCCATACAATGCTCGAAGTGTTCATTGGAGTCTTGAATTTCGTGGGTTTGTAGTAAAAATATAGGGATGGTATCCGTGTCATTGGAGTCTATGCCATATTCCGCCAACACTTCTTTCAAACTTTTATATGAGGAGAACGCACGCTTCGGCTTTTCTTTGAGGGTTTTAGCCTCTTTTGCGAGAAGTGTTGCTGGACCGCCTTTAAATCCATAACGCTCAAAGTCTTCTCTGGTCAAGTCGAGAAAGGAGAGGCCGTTAATTTCTTCTTCACGAAGAATGTCGAAGTGCTTTTTCTCGAGCTTGAGGTTTTGTTCTTTCAAAAAATTGATAAGGGTTTCCGTATCCCAGTTCTCAACCAAGTAAGAGTCGTGTTCAGCTGTTGAGGTAGACATAGCGCTTTTTGGTTATTAGGCTCAGACAAAAAATAGTGTTATGTTCCGGAGTGAGATAAAAATTTATTTCTGTTCGGGAAAGAGAATACTGGGCGTTAATATAGATTTTTATGTCACATAGGCGTATCATCACACGTGACCCATTTCTCATGTACCGATAAAATAATAATACTTTATTTATGAAATAAAAAACGTTGCCGGAAGCCGGCTTAATACATAAAAATTGCGAATATATCGCTACATGATACGGATGAAAAAAATTCTAACTACTGGGGTATATGAGGATGAGACCCTCTTCAATGTGATCGATATTAAAATGCTTAGAAATTATATCATCTTATTCCAACGCTTTTGCCAGCCCTTTTGGGTTTTTCACGTAAAGTTTAATATCAGAATCTTGCTTATATCGTGTTGCCATTTCTTTTTTAATAGTGGGTATGGCATCTTTGACCGATGTCTGCCAGGCTATTTTGAT